TTCATACTGAAAATATAACACAGAATAACATAATAAAAACATTATTATATCATTTTATATTATACTGAAAATATAACACAGAATAACTAAATATAAACATTATTTTACCATTTTATATCATACTGAAAATATAACACAGAATAACATAATAAAAACATTATTATATCATTTTATATTATACTGAAAATATAACACAGAATAACTAAATATAAACATTATTTTACCATTTTATATCATACTGAAAATATAACACAGAATAACTAAATACAAACATTATTATACCATTTTATATTATACTGAAAATATAACACAGAATAACATAATAAAAACATTATTATATCATTTTATATTATACTGAAAATATAACACAGAATAACTAAATATAAACATTATTTTACCATTTTATATCATACTGAAAATATAACACAGAATAACTAAATACAAACATTATTATACCATTTTATATTATACTGAAAATATAACACAGAATAACTAAATATAAACATTATTTTACTATTTTATATTATACTGAATACCTGAATTTAAATAAAGAAAAACTAATATTATCTCAACTTGTATTCTATATTCATACATTAGAACTACTTATAGAATTATAACATGTTCACAAACTTTCCCTTGTTCTTACAGAATAATGTTACTTAACTTATAAACTTCTAGTGACTTCATCCTATATAATAGCTAGTTACATCATGTAATGTAAAATTTTCATGGTTTTTAAACGTTGGCGAACGGAGTGAAGGCACTGAGTCCATATTTTAACCACAAAGTTTTTTACTTAATATGACCTAATTTACTTAGAAACTAACTTAGCTGTCAGTCAAAATGCCATGTGATAGTGAAATTCTTAATGAAATAAATTTTTACTTAATAGAAATGCTAATGCTGATTGGATGAAAAAGTAGATTAGGTTCTAATGTTTTGTTATTTCTTAAGGCCAGTTTGTACTCTGCTCAGTGAAAGATCAAAGCAAAGATAAAGAAGATAAGTGAAGCTTTGATTTGCTACCCATCGCTTAGTTTCGCCTAGTCAAGACAAGTCTGTCAACGCCAGTTTGTTTCGTCTGTCTCTGATTGATTGCAAAGATTTAAGCGAAGTGAAGAAGTAGGAGCACATCCTACTCCTTCGCCTGGCTTGAAAATAAACTTGCAAAGGTACAGCGAGGAAAAACCTGCACTTCACTGCTTTACTTAGCAGAGTTTAAACTGGTCTTTACACAAAATACGTAAGAAAAAAACTCACCTGAACATTAACAAATACACCATGATAAGTTTCATATAGAACTTTTCCTGCTAGCGGTTTTAACGGAACTTCAAACGGTATCTCTGTCTTTCCATTGGGTAATTTACCAGGCTTGACCACTTCCAGAGAATAGCTGATCAGTGGAATTGGCTGAAAAATAAACACATCAGACTAGATATAGGAACATGGACTGGATGGATTTGGTGAGAGAGGGGGTTTAGGTCTGAGGTTTGAGGCTTCCATGGCAATAGCTGATCAGTGAAATTAGCTGAAACATTACAAATTAGATACAAGAAGACAGACTGGTTCTGATTGGGGTGTGGTCGCTTCTCAAGTTGGGACTAATTTTAAAGAATTGGAATAGCTGGAGAATCTCTCAAACATCACTTCCAGAAGAAGTAGCAGTGGCAACCAAAAAACAGTCCTCTTGTTGAAATCTCTCACCCCCTGAAGATCCCCATCCCCCTAGAACATATTCCTGTCCAGTAAACATTATATCCAATACTGTCCATTTTAACCTCACTATTTTCATGATGCAAAGGCCAGCTTTTTTGAGTACCTCCACCCCTGTTGTTAGATTTAAAGGGATTGTAAAGAGGGTTTCTAAATTATTTATGTTTATCGGGGAAACTGATAGCATCGATTTGTACCATTCTAATTTTCAATCAGATGTCTGTGGTTCCTGTAATTCCACAAAAAATAAGTGTTTGATGACGTTGTCACGTTACTCATTGCAAAATATTCTTTGTCAGATAAGACCTTTGCGATTAGTGAAGTCACCAAACACTTAGTTTTAGTGGAATTGCAAGAACCATAGATATCTGATTAAGAATTGGAATGGTGCAAATTGATGTTTTCAATGTCCCTCATACACGTAAAAAATTAAGAAAACCTCTTTACCATTCCCTTTAACATAAACCAACCTTTAATGAATTATAAAAGGCTTCAAACATGCCAACACTCTTAGCACTGAGTTGTAAATTGACGTTACCATCCATAGATAGAGTCACACCTTGATGTTGTAAAACACCTCGACTTTCAACAATTATAATCCCTGAAACCATGTCCTGAAAACAAATAAAATAGAAATCATTTTATTGTCTTAAAACTTGTAGAAATTGTTTGTGTTCATATACAGTGTCATACGGGGGAGTTCCATAATAATATACCATATACATCAATATATTTCCTCCACCAGACCTAACCACCAAATATTACATAGATAATGATGATATGGAATTGAACATAACATAGTGACATGTAAGATATACATGTAAAGGGACAGGGGTGGACTTAACTTTATACAGCAGTTTGCAATGAGACTATAAATTTAGGAAACCTGCTCACATTTGGACAAATTTACCCAAATCATTCTGCCGACATAAGAATATTTCGAGAATAGTGCCCCTCCCCTTTCTTTTTATATTTTATGTTTTATGCCATTTTCACAAAAAATGCACCAAGGAATAAGACCAAAACGATGTCATGGGGATGCAGAATTCTCCCATCTTCTATTATAGTGATTTTTATAATAATTTGAGCTTCCTATTTACCCCCTCACGGTAAACTTTATTCACTTTCTTCAATCGGATATCAACAGTCGCCATTTTGAAGTCATGTGATATATTGATCGCTTGCATCATTGAAAATAATATCATTTCTTACAATTTTGACAAATTTTGTAATTGCATTCAGAAATTTGATGACAGTTCGTCATTAACCTATTCTTAGTTTGATATGTGGGATATTAAATGACGATTAAGGAATGAAAACTACTATATTTTATTGTTATAAGCGACGCTGTTCTATTCACCCCCTCTGATAATTATTTTTATAGGAAAATTTCCTCATTGGTGGCTGAAAACTGATTATTGACTGATGATGTAAGACTCTTGTCTTAATCTTATACTTTTAATCCCTGTAGAGACATTCAACTACTCGAACATTGGGCCACCGTTATTATTAGAGGGAGTACAATAGAACAGCCGTAACTAAGAACGCACTTAGATAATGTTCTGATTATCCAGACTGTAGCGTGAACCTGTATTTGATCGAGGTGTAACGGTATCTCGGTTGCCAGGTGCCAATAACTACCTAACACTCGACAGTAATCGTTAACTTTTCACCGAATAACAATAAAAGTATTGTTTATAGCTCGGAGTGACTGAATGAAAGTTTTATAGTCTAAAGAAAGAATTAACTATACATCAATTGTTTATTAAAATCATAAAATATGGATTAAAGTGAATAAATAACACAATTCGTGTAAATTAAGAACTTTATAAAAGAGTTCTATTCGTGTTAATTTGTAACTTGGGTTTAACCCATTATTCACAGATTTTCGACAAACAATTTACAATATGTCTGTGAAACCGGCTGTTTTCGACAATCCGGAACTTTTCGCCGAGATATTTCCTGATGATGTGGATATTAATGATATATGTGATTGTGGGTAAGTGTCAGCAGAATCTCATCATTGTGTAGAAGGTGGGCAGTCGTCCGGTAGGTCAGCTCAAACAGTAGACAGTTGGATTGTTGTCCGCTAGGACAGTGGAATAGCTCAATCAGTAGACAGTTGGATTGTCGTCTGCTAGGGCAGTTGAATAGCTCAGTCAGTAGCAAGTTGGATTGTCTGCTAGGGCAGTTGAATAGATCAGTCAGTAGCAAGTTGGATTGTCTGGTAGGGCAGTTGAATAGCTCAGTCAGTAGAGAGTTGGATTGTCGTCTGCTAGGACAGTTGAATAGCTCAATCAGTAGACAGTTGGATTGTTGTCTGCTAGGACAGTTGAATAGCTCAGTCAGCAGCAAGTTGGATTGTCTGCTAGGACCGTTGAATAGCTCAATCAGTAGACAGTTGGATTGTTGTCTGCTAGGACAGTTGAATAGCTCAGTCAGTAGACAGTTGGATTGTCGTCTGCCAGGACAGTTGAATAGCTCAGTCGGTAGATAGTTGGATTGTCGTCTGCTAGGACAGTGGAATAGCTCAGTCAGTAGAGGGTTGGATTGTCGTCTGCTAGGACAGTGGAATAGCTCAGTCGGTAGAGAGTTGGATTGTCGTCTGCTAGGACAGTGGAATAGCTCAGTCGGTAGATAGTTGGATTGTCGTCTGCTAGGACAGTGGAATAGCTCAGTCAGTAGAGGGTTGGATTGTCGTCTGCCAGGACAGTTGAATAGCTCAGTCAGTAGAGAGTTGGATTATCGTTTGCTAGGACAGTTGAATAGCTCAGTCAGTAGAGAGTTGGATTATCGTTTGCTAGGACAGTTGAATAGCTCAATCAGTAGACAGTTGGATTGTCGTCTGCTAGGACAGTTGAATAGCCCAGTCAGTAGCAAGTTGGATTGTCGTCTGCTAGGGCAGTTGAATAGCTCAGTCAGTAGATAGTCGGATTGTCATCTGCTAGGACAGTTGAATAGCTCAATCAGTAGACAGTTGGATTTTCGTCTGCTAGGACAGTTAAATAGCTCAGTCAGTAGATAGTCGGATTGTCATCTGCTAGGGCAGTTGAATAGCTCAGTCAGTAGATAGTCGGATTTTCATCTGCTAGGACAGTTGAATAGCTCAGTCAGTAGATAGTCGGATTGTCATCTGCTAGGGCAGTTGAATAGCTCAGTCAGTAGATAGTCGGATTGTCATCTGCTAGGGCAGTTGAATAGCCCAGTCAGTAGATAGTCGGATTGTCATCTGCTAGGACAGTTGAATAGCTTAATCAGTAGGCAGTTGGATTGTCGTCTGCTAGGGCAGTTGAATAGCTCAGTCAGTAGATAGTCGGATTGTCATCTGCTAGGGCAGTTGAATAGCTCAGTCAGTAGATAGTCGGATTGCCATCTGCTAGGACAGTTGAATAGCTTAATCAGTAGACAGTTGGATTGTCGTCTGCTAGGGCAGTTGAATAGCTGAGTCAGTAGTTAGTCGGATTGTCATCTTCTAGGACAGTTGAATAGCTTAATCAGTAGACAGTTGGATTGTCGTCTGCTAGGGCAGTTGAATAGCTCAGTCAGTAGATAGTCGGATTGTCATCTGCTAGGGCAGTTGAATAGCTCGGTCAGTAGAGAGTTGGATTGTCTGCTTGGACAGTGGAATAGCTCAGTCAGTAGAGAGTTGGATTGTTGTCTGCTAGGACAGTAGAATAGCTCAGTCAGTAGCAAGTTGGATTGTTGTCTGCTAGGACAGTAGAATAGCTCAGTCAGTAGCAAGTTGGATTGTTGTCAGCTAGGACAGTGGAATAGCTCAGTCAGTAGAGAGTTGGATTGTCGTCTGCTAGGACAGTGGAATAGCTCAATCAGTAGCAAGTTGGATTGTTGTCTGCTAGGACAGTGGAATAGCTCAGTCAGTAGCGAGTTGGATTGTCGTTTGCTAGGACAGTGAAATAGCTCAATCAGTAGCGAGTTGGATTGTTGTCTGCTAGGACAATGGGGTAGCTCATTCAGTAGAGAGTTGGATTGTTGTCTGTTAAGACAGTGGAATAGCTCAGTCAGTAGAGAGTTGGATTGTCGTCTGCCAGGACAGTGGAATAGCTCAATCAGTAGCTAGTCGGATTGTTGTCTGTTAAGACAGTGGAATAGCTCAATCAGTAGCAAGTTGGATTGCTGTCTGCTAGGACAGTGGGGTAGCTCAATCAGTAGCTAGTCGGATTGTTGTCTGCTAAGACAGTGGAATAGCTCAATCAGTAGCGAGTTGGATTGTTGTCTGTTAAGACAGTGGAAGAGCTCAGTCAGTAGCTAGTCGGATTGTTGTCTGCTAAGACAGTGGAATAGCTCAATCAGTAGCGAGTTGGATTGTTGTCTGTTAAGACAGTGGAAGAGCTCAGTCAGTAGAGAGTTGGATTGCTGTCTGCTAGGACAGTGAAATAGCTCAATCAGTAGCGAGTTGGATTGTTGTCTGCTAGGACAGTGGAATAGCTCAATCAGTAGCGAGTTGGATTGTTGTCTGTTAAGAAAGAGCTCAGTCAGTAGAGAGTTGGATTGCTGTCTGGTAGGACAGTGAAATAGCTCAATCAGTAGCGAGTTGGATTGTCGTTTGCTAGAACAGTGGAATAGCTCAGTCAGTAGAGAGTTGGATTGTCGTCTGCTAGAACAGTGGAATAGCTCAGTCAGTAGAGAGTTGGATTGCTGTCTGCTAGGACAGTTGAATAGCTCAATCAGTAGCAAGTTGGATTGTTGTCTGCTAGGACAGTGGGGTAGCTCATTCAGTAGAGAGTTGGATTGTTGTCTGCTAGGACAGTTGAATAGATCAGTCAGTAGCAAGTTGGATTGTTGTCTGCTAGGACAGTGGGGTAGCTCAGTCAGTAGAGAGTTGGATTGTCTGCTAGAACAGTGTAATAGCTCAGTCCCTAGCGAGTTGGATTGTCGTCTGCTAGGACAGTGGAATAGATCAGTCAGTAGAGAGTTGGATTGTCTGCTAGGACAGTGGAATAGCTCAATCAGTAGCGAGTTGGATTGTCTGCTAGGACAGTGGAATAGCTCAATCAGTAGCGAGTTGGATTGTCTGCTGGGACAGTGGAATAGCTCAGTCAGTAGCGAGTTGGATTGTCGTTTGCTAGGACAGTTGAATAGCTCAATCAGTAGCAAGTTGGATTGTTGTCTGCTAAGACAGTGGAAGAGCTCAGTCAGTAGAGAGTTGGATTGCTGTCTGCTAGGACAGTGAAATAGCTCAATCAGTAGCGAGTTGGATTGTCGTTTGCTAGGACAGTTGAATAGCTCAATCAGTAGCAAGTTGGATTGTTGTCTGCTAGGACAGTGGGGTAGCTCATTCAGTAGAGAGTTGGATTGTTGTCTGCTAGGACAGTTGAATAGATCAGTCAGTAGCAAGTTGGATTGTTGTCTGCTAGGACAGTGGGGTAGCTCAGTCAGTAGAGAGTTGGATTGTCTGCTAGGACAGTGTAGTAGCTCAGTCCCTAGCGAGTTGGATTGTCGTCTACTAGGACAGTGGAATAGATCAGCCAGTAGAGAGTTGGATTGTCTGCTAGGACAGTGGAATAGCTCAATCAGTAGCGAGTTGGATTGTCGTCTGCTAGGACAGTGGAATAGCTCAGTCAGTAGTGAGTTGGATTGTCTGCTAGGACAGTGGAATAGCTCAATCAGTAGCGAGTTGGATTGTTGTCTGCTAGGAAAGTTGAATATTATCGCTCCTCTGAATTCATCTCGCACTTATGGATATCCTCCCCCATGTTTATTTCTTTCACTGGCCCAGCTAGAAATTTCTCATTCCACGACCATTGCCTGCAAGGATCTAACCACAGCGAATCTCTCTAACATGTATTGTAACTTAACATAATAATACAACTACATGTATTTAATATGAAGAGATAATCTATTGTAATCCGGGTAACCAGATACCCATCTACTGTATCAACTATTAAACTCTACATAATTGTATTGGACTGGTATATATAATAGTATGTATGTTAAAAACTGAAGTAGATATCAGTTATTGTTGGTAGATAGTAAGTAGGTTATACTAACTACAAATTGTTACGTCACTAAACTATAGAAACAATTCTGTATTAAATCAGGTTTTTATTTCAATCCCAACAGCACAAAGTTTCACTCTTCGTTCCAGTTTAAAAAGACTGAGACACACGACACATTATCATTACTTGTCAGTTTCCAAAGATTAACCGACCAGTTTGTGGGCGCACTCTGAGTGCAACGTCTGTTTTTTTTCTCTAGGATCTCACCAATATCCCTAGCAATCTCCCAGCCCGTATAAGGAATATAAAAAAAATAATATCCCCACTGTCATTCGGCTTACAACTGTCAAACAATCCAGGTTTCTCGTATCAGGAATAAGTGATTTGCTTTACTGTATAATTATTCTAAATGAAAATCCGACACCCGGGTCGTGTTCAATTAAAATATGAAAATTTAGAAAAAAGATATTCTATTCAACCGACAGAAAGGAAGACTAACTTTTGAACTATTATCATGGACTGTTGTCAAACCATGAACATTTCCCCATTCTGTTGGAATTTAATGATGAATTAATTGACTACAGTTAACCCTGGTGGTGTGATTGTATCAGTGTAATGTCAAACTATTTGACTTCTCCCTGATATTACTATATTTCCTGATCAAATAGAAAATACTGGTATTTATACTGATCAATAATCAGTTATCAATATATAATATCGATTCTACACACTGACAGTAACATGAGTACCATTCAAACTCGTAAACATTAACCCTGGATACTGAAATCTAATTATTGTCTTTGGACTGACAAGTATTCAGATGGAAAAGCGATCAAAAACTATCCTGAAGCTTTGTACCAAGAGTACCCAATGTAAGAGTGTGCACTGCACATAGCTACTAATATTGTTTATTTGGGGCCAACTTGGCAACTGTTTCATAGTGACCACACGGTTGATAATTGTTCTCTAGGAAATATTATTTATTATTATTTCAGGCGTCACAAAAGGAAACAGGTTCCAGGTTTTAACGGGAAGATGGCGCCAAGAACTAAAAGAGAATTTCCTGACACAGACTACAAAGCTACTTTCAAACCTAAAAATGCCCGACCCAGATCTAGTAAAAGACCCCCTCCCTCTCCCCGAGACCCCAATCCACCACCAATGACATTTTCAACCAATCAGCGTTCAGAATTCACCAAACCAAATAATCCAGAAAGAGTTGAACCAATCAAAAGAGTAAGTATCTGCACTGATTTCCTATTAACATTGTTTCTATTTTGTAAAATGAGTGAAATTGAAATGACTTTATATCAAAAATAAAGGAGCAGTCGGATCCCCCTCCTTTAGACCTCCCCAAGTCTGGACTCTTATGGTACATCACTCTCTTATTAATACACAACGTTTCAACAATTTACGATGTACTTTCAGGAGGAGAAGTACGAACCATCTACAGTGCCACTGGAATCTCAGACCTTCTATAAACAGGAATATAAACCGAAAGTAGTATTTCCTGATATTCACCAGTTTTCACCGAAACCTGATGAAATACGCCTTCCCTCGGCGAAATTTGACCCCACAACAACCAATAAAACACATTATAAACAGTGGGTCCCGGAACCCAGCAGACCCTTCGCTGAATTACCAAGTTTTGCTGGTAAGTACTATATTTCACCAAAACTCACCCTAAGCTGTCACCAGGCGGATTTAATATCATCCTCATCATCAGGCCAGCAAGTGTTGTAAATTGTCATCATCAGGGCAGCTAGTTTTAGAAATGGGGATTAACTTTTCAATATAGGAATTAATGTAAGTCAATTGACTAGAGCTTGTCTCCTACTACTGTGTTTTTACTATGAATTCGTCATCAGGACAGTATGAATTAAAACTGGTGTTATTTCTATCATAACGGCAGGTTAGCAAACGCCTGAAATTTATTCCAAAATCATGACTAATCTGGACTAATAGAATCTTGGTATGACCTGCAGCATTTGCAACCAGATGTCAGCACCAGACATGTTTTCTCTTCCAGGTTCGATTCTGTTTCCAGAAAAAGAACGATTACCAGAAAGTGTAACTAAACATACTTATATTAAACGCCCTATTCAACCGACTGAACCGGCTAAACCTGCTGATAATAACTTGAAAATTGAGGGTGAGATTGTCATATTCTCATCGTTTGGTTCTCAAACTCAAGCACAATGACAACTGACGTTTCCTGGGCAACCAAATGTATAAGCAATTCGACATTACTGGTTATAATAATATAGGCTATATAGACTGTCTAATAGTATTGACATGCCTGTGTCTCACTCCGTTACAATTTCACCGATCAAAGTTGGCATGATTTAAATGTAATGAGACACATAAAAAGTCTGGCCCTAACCCAAGCAAGAACGATCATTTTATTTTAGATATGTCCAAGAAATAAGTGATGCAAATTAGCTTTTCGTCACTACCATCAACTTATTTATTTAATAGTGTACGAACTAAAAGCCAGTTGTCTATTTTAAAAGTGGCATGCTGAAAGAACTATATCCCTATAAGGTTAAATGAATATTAACAGCTAAACTTGGTGATTATCTCTATTCAGTTGAGATCTTACTGTTTGTTGATGGATTTTGAATTTTGAAATTGTAATTACAGGTTCAATGATGTTTGACACCACACACGATAATACTTACAGAAAAATACACGGCGACCATCGTTCAGTTAGAGTTAAACCCTGGACAGAATTATCTACTAATCTGAAATCTAAAGATAAATTCGAAACTTTAACCCAGTTTAGAAGAGATTTTCCAGGGTTTCTGGGGGGTCAGCCACTTCCTCCCCCACCCATCAGTCCACTGAAATCCACTGTTGATCTGAAGTTTGATAACAGGTAAGTCAGTTATTACATTGTACCACATTGACAACCTCAACCCTTGTTTCTAGGTTCCCAACCTGGGGTGTTTTCACCCCCAAGGGGTGTGGGACTAGGGTGTCAAGGGTGTGGCCAACTGGTGTAGGAGAAGAATTTATTTTGAATTGAGAGAACACCTCACATCATCACTTGCTGGAAATTTGGATGTAACAAATTTTTGTTGGTGTGAAAGGTCCAGGTGGTAGATGCTCTGTGATTCCAAAATTTAAAACCATGTTTTAGTAGATTGGCGAAAATCAAGTTACTCCCGCTACATACCCAGGACTGAGTTTGACCGCCATGTCATTCGACTTCACCTGACCTGACCTAACTACCCAATCCTAGCACCTGCTACCCACGACTACCAACAATTAACTGATTGGATAGCGTTTCGATATCTTTACGGTTCCACTGGTCTTGAATATCGTAAAACAACAAGTCAATTATCATGGTTTATATTTCAGACGAAGTTTCAGTACCGAACAGAGATCTATTTATAAAGGACATGATGTAAAAACATTCCCCTCGGCTAAATCTTGTAAAAAAACAGAAGAAGAATATCGAGTTCCTAGTGTTGCATTTGAGACAGAGACATCACAGAGGGTAAGTTATCATCTGGTTCCATAATTTCAAAATTAGAACGCAGCTGTACTGATGACAGTCTTGTATCAGAAACATATTTCAGTAAGATGTTATAGGCTACAATAAAGATGATATAAACCTGTCAGAAGGCAATTATTTGAATGTTTAGTTACCTCCCCTGACAGAATGGCCATCATCTTAGATCTACTGTGTTCTATTTTTAACAGTATTTTGAGAACTCTTGGTGTTGTATGTTACTTTGACTGACAACCTTTTATCTTCCATAGAGAATTCAAAATCCATTCCTAGATATCGTGAATTCTATTTACTAGGCTTGACAATCCATAATAGAGAAATGTTAAACGTTAAAATGGTCAGCTATTTTTGTATCATTTCAGCGAGATTTTAAACCAATAGACATCGAGAACGCCTACCCACCGCCATCTTTTATTCCTTTTGAGAAACTTCATACCGACAAAGATGCCAAATTTGATGATCACACTATGAGTAAAGAATTTTTCAAGGAATGGCCGGTACAAGAGAGGAAACGGTACGGAGATTTCCATGAGAACAGGCCCTATATTCCTCCCATGGTGAAATTTGAAGGTGAAAGTATCACCAAGTCGACATACAAACCGAAAGTAGCAGAACCAATTCAGAATTATAAACCAGAGTTTAAAACTATAGATAAATCTGGAAATATGGAACTGAAAACCTCTTACACCGATTCTTACCCTGGTCATAAAATTAAATTATGTCGTGCTCAGATTTATCTTTTACAGCAGGAATTTAAAAAATGGCAGACGGAGCAGCAGAATAACGCCATCTCAGTTCATTAGATTGTAATCGAATATATTTAATTAACAGTATTTGGTTGAAATAACAATGCATCGTATCGGGTTTTGACGAGTATGACGAATGGGGGTGTGGTTTGGACAATATGGTCCATCTGAAGAATGGACAGCCTATTGGAGTGTGATAAATATACCAAATGAACAGTATTAGCTATAGGACAATCTCGTCATACATACAACCGCAGCTATATAACTCAATTATAACCGCTATTAGTCACTGGAGTTGTGAAAATATGTAGAAATATAAGAAAATGGAATCCAAGATTGTCCACAAAAACATTGCCTCTAAAACATATGATAGACAAGAAAGTAAATCAAATAACTGGATTTAATGATTGTAAGACAGAATAACGGCATTCAGCATCAGAGTTTCTAGGACCACTGACATGATACAAATATCTAGATCTTTCATTAACACTGACATGGTACAGATATCTAGATCTTTCATTAACACTGACATGGTACAAATATCTAGATCTTTCATTAACACTGACATGGTACAAATATCTAGATCTTTCATTAACACTGACATGGTACAGATATCTAGATCTTTCATTAACACTGACATGGTACAGATATCTAGATCTCTCATTAACACTGACATGATACAGATATCTAGATCTTTCATTAACACTGACATGGTACAGATATCTAGATCTTTCATTAACACTGACATGGTACAAATATCTAGATCTTTCATTAACACTGACATGGTACAAATATCTAGATCTCTCATTAACACTGACATGGTACAGATATCTGGATCTCTCATTAACACTGACATGGTACAGATATCTAGATCTTTCATTAACACTGACATGGTACAGATATCTAGATCTTTCATTAACACTGACATGATACAGATATCTAGATCTTTCATTAACACTGACATGGTACAGATATCTAGATCTTTCATTAACACTGACATGGTACAAATATCTAGATCTTTCATTAACACTGACATGGTACAAATATCTAGATCTCTCATTAACACTGACATGGTACAGATATCTGGATCTCTCATTAACACTGACATGGTACAGATATCTGGATCTCTCATTAACACTGACATGGTACAGATATCTGGATCTCTCATTAACACTGACATGGTACAGATATCTGGATCTCTCATTAACACTGACATGGTACAGATATCTGGATCTCTCATTAACACTGTGCGAGATTAACACTGTGCGAGATTTAAGTCTTGTGCCTTTGCATTTCCTACCCCATTGAATATTTTAAAATATTATTTTGGTGGTTTTTTTATCAGCCGAGCTTTATTAAAATGAAGCAGGATTCTAAATTGTGGGATATAATACGTGTTTCCTGTTGGTTAAATACATCCTGATTCGTTTTTCACAGTATCACATTAGTCAGACGTATATTAGTAAACAACGTTTCGATGGAATTAAGGAGCACCAATTCACCAGGCGAATTATTCTTTCCTTTTGTTTTCGGGACATTGAAGGATGATTCTAGAGTTGAAAAGGAAACTTTGTAGATTTAAGTAAATTATTAAGGGGAGATAATGTTGTACAACATATGATAGAATTAAGTTTAGTATCTTATTCATTTAACACTCATTTCGGTTCTGCAAAATGTGTCGAAAAACCAGTTCAATGGATAGTTATACTTCTAGGATACCCAATAACTCTTCGTAACTTATCTACAACACCAATAGGATAGCTCATCGCAAATATTGTCTCTGATTGATAGGCTGATAGTCGAAAACACCTTCTATTATATTAATACTACTAGTTTATAGGAATTAATACAACGTTCTCTGTCTATATGAAGGTGTCGTATGATATCATGTTTTTGAAAAGTTTACCAGTAATTAAGAGTGTTTATTATTCATATTGTTATTTTTATGATTGTAGTTTGCAGTGCTCAAAAATAAATAAAAAGTATTATTTTGTTTATGTATGTACATATATAGTGTACAAACTCTGTGATATCCGACATCATTTTCTGGTCCCGATTGATTTCCTTCTTAGGCTAGTTAAAAAAAAACTCCGAATTACGACACTAATCAGTGGTTCCGACACTCATAAAAATCTGTATAATCCATCTACTCATCTTAATCACTTATAGATATAGAGTCAGTAAGTTTCAGACTGACCTCTGTCAATAATAACTATCAGAGACTAGATATAGAGTCAGTAAGTTTCAGACTGACCTCTGTCAATAATAACTATCAGAGATCAGATATAGAGTCAGTAAGTTTCAGACTGACCTCTGTCAATAATAACTATCAGAGATCAGATATAGGGTCAGTAAGTTTCAGACTGACCTCTGTCAATAATAACTATCAGAGATCAGATATAGGGTCAGTAAGTTTCAGACTGACCTCTGTCAATAATAACTATCAGAGATCAGATATAGAGTCATTAAGTTTCAGACTGACCTCTGTCAATAATAACTATCAGAGATCAGATATAGAGTCATTAAGTTTCAGACTGACCTCTGTCAATAATAACTATCAAAAAATGAAATGAAATGAATGGAGTTTTGCGTCCTACTTTTCTGCACCATGTGGGCTAATTAAGACGGACAGACAGGCCTAGAACGGACAGAACGGACTGACTACACCACGTGATGACCTGTATTTAGTACCTTGCATCTCTGAAACCTCTTTCTGACAGTGACGTCATCTGCGGGCTGCGGTTTTCCTTTGGCTTTGTAATGTTGAAAGTTCGAGTTTTGTAGCACATCCTACTTTGTGAGACTCTGACGCCATAACCGGAATCTATATGTTTGCTATTTGTTGACTTATCAATCTGTTTAAATAATTTCAATCCAATCAATTATATTGTGTTGTTTTTCAGCTCGGGTGTTTTCAAACTCTGGTAAAGTTTATTTTGGATTCACTCACCCATTTCCAACTTCGTAGACGTTTTTATCTGTCTCGAATTAAGTAAAATGGTTGAAATAGAAGACCAAGATATCTACGGTCTTTAAAAGACTAAAGTCATTTTATGGAAATATAAATCAGTGATGCATTAAAATCCAAAACAAAACTTAAATAAAATCCAGATTTTAAGAAATACAGTAATATGATTGGATAATAAAATTGATTATAGAAATATGAAATATATAAGGACAAGTTGAAAAATGTTTATTCATTTTTCCAGAGAATCAATAAAAACAGTTTTAGTAAATTTGTTTGAGAATAGAAGCATTCTAAATCATCACATGGACAAATCCAGGTCATATCAAATCATGACAACGGGTGAAAATTGAAAATATGCACATTAAGAACACCCTAAATTACAGATAATCAAAATAGGAAAGTAATTGCTCTGGTTTCAGATATTCTAAAAGGGCGAAGATACCTTACATCGGAAGTAATGTCTACCATACGCTGATTCATCATTTCATTAAATACCGTAACATTTTTTCTGGTTCCTAGATATCATTTTTATATCACTTCAGTCACATCTCAAAAATACATTATGCTAAATCTTTGACAGATATTAGTATAGTAAATAAATAACAAAAGATGGAACTTGGCAGTAAGGGTTTCTATGGTTCAGTATAGAATAAAAATAACTTATAGTCCAACTCATTTTAATATTCGTTGATCTTCTGGACGTAGGCGATGTTATCATAGTCACATGTTTAAAATGATGTTCAATCTTAAAGAAGGCTGACTTTAAGAGATTTGTGAGAAAAATATCTGCCAAGCTCTGCGTTATATTGTTGTCTTTGCGTTCAAATAACACTAATGTAGTACAACTAATGAAAGTTTTCGAGGTTAATCGGGCATGATATGAAAGCAGTAAAAACTGATCTCCGATTTATTGATGATTTAATGGCTAGCTAATCATTTTGCTCACTTGTAAACAATATGGCTGGTGAATATGATATACTGCATATTTTTTTTTCATTTTGAGGAAAGTAAAAAGGGACCACGATACTTGTATTTTATATCCTGTCTCCAGTCTCCTGTCTCCTGTCTCCCGTCTCCTGCCTCCAGTCTCCCGTCTCCAGTCTCCAGTCTCAAATCTCCAGTCTCAAATCTCCAGTCTCAAATCTCCAGTCTCAAATCTCCAGTCTCAAATCTCCAGTCTCTAGTCTCTAGTCTCTAGTCTCTAGTCTCTAGTCTCTAGTCTCTAGTTTCCAGTCTCCTGTCTCCAGTCTCCAGTCTCAAATCTCCAGTCTCAAATCTCCAGTCTCAAATCTCCAGTCTCAAATCTCTTGTCACCTGTCTGCTGTCTGCTGTCTCCTGTTTCCAGTCTCCAGTCTCCTGTCTCCAGTCTCTTGTCTCCTGTCTCTTATCTCTTGTCTCTTGTCACTTGTCACTTGTCACTTGTCTCCTGTCTCCTATCTCTTGTCTCCAGTCTCCAGTCTCTTGTCTCTTGTCTCTTGTCTCCTGTCTCCTGTCTCTTGCCTCCTGTCTCTTGTCTCCTGTGTCTCCTGTCTCCTGTCTCCTGTCTCCTGTCTCCTGTCTCTGTCTCGTCTCCTGTCTCCAACATCAACGTCAGATGAAACATCAACATCAGTTGAAACAACAACACGACGGGGACTGACTACTAGTGGTATTGAACTGACGTTTGGTGTTGAAATTGGAATTGGAATTTTAGTGTGGGTTTAATTCTTGTTATTATAGCAGTAATCATTACTGTTCAAAGATCTTCTGTAAATTATTTGTGGAAGAAGGTTTAAGTTGAAATTTGTTTTTTTATTTTACATAGATATGAAACACTTGATAGTATCTCTCTTGGGATCTACTATCTTTACTCCAGATTTTGCTATTGGTTGGATGAGTTTTTGATTGACGGAATTGTCTTGCTTGTGCGGAATTTTATGTATATGTAGATCGAATTCTCTTTATAATCGTTATAAATTCTATGATATATTAATATATTTAAAAATATATTCTATCCTCATCTATTTCAAGATTTGGCTTACTTGTTATTTTAACATTTTTTATGTTGTAGTATGGTTT